AATGCAGAATATATTAAATGTTTTAACTAAGATTTAATATTATACATGAAAAAGTTATTAGAGAAGTTGCTAAAGAAAGAAACGAAAAATTGGCTAGCTTATTAAACAATAGAAAAAATATAAAAGATGACACCTTTGTCTTGGGCTCTGAAAGTGGAGCTAGCTATTAACATCAATAATTTATTTTCTTATAGTTCTTTAAAATATCACGTTGCTACTTAAATGTAATGTTGAATATTTTAAATTTTTTATTATTGTTTTTACTCGAGAGCTTTTATTTGTTAATTTTTAGCTTGTTTTTGACCATTACGGTCTATGGAAGGAATATCAGTAAGGGTGATGTACTTTATTGGTCGTCCAATGCTGAGTTACCAATTTAGAAGACATGTTGCTTGCACAATCCAAAATTGATCCTTTTTTAATATGCAATTTCTGAATTGTCCTGCGAATGGTACACCAATGAAAAATTGGTTAAAATAATAACATGACAACTTTAGGATGGTCTTTGATTGCTAAGTGACAAAATATTTTTTTGAGATGTCATAAAAACCATAACCCACTTTTAGAATATTTAAATTGTTTGATATTTCAGCTATACATCTTGGGTAAGTTCCGATAACACGATCCGATAGATCGAATCCGTTAACTAAATTTAACTATTTTTAAAAGAGAATTGTGTAGTCTATCTTTTGCTGTTCAAAACGGTTATTTGACCATTTGTCACATAACCGCGCTTTAGTTAGTGGATGGCGGAATTCATATTGTAATTCTTTTTATTGCCTTGCAAGGACAGTAAACAAATGCGCTTTCAACTTCTATAAACGTCCTGAAACTGTCATCTATATGTAGTAAAAGTAATTTGCAACCTTTATCCAGAACTTATCGACGTTCAGAAAGAGATAAAATAAATCTAAGAAAAACTATAAACGTATTATGCAGAATTTCAAAAACCCTTGTACTTTACAATTGTCCATTTGGAGCGTTCATGTACTTTCCAGTTCTATTTTGACTTTAAGGCTGCTAACAGATTGAGTGCGTGTTTGCAGTTAATGCGTGAAATCGTAATCAACTTCACGCAGTCGATCTCGTCAACATGGTCGTTTCGACTGCATGCAGTTAGTGCGTGAAGTCGTTGTCAACTTCATGCAGTCGAAGTCTCGGATAACGACGGTTTTTACCAGTTTCCATTTTAAATAATGTGCCTATTTAATACCATTAAAATCCAGGAGCATTTGTAAAAAATACGGCTCTTTCGGGGTAAGTTTTACTGTCTCACACCCTATGCAGCATTTAAGTTTATCAAAAACACTCCCTGTGTTTTTGATATTGTACCTGTGTTTTTTTTTGTTACAGCCTTTCTTTTCGCCTTTTACCTTATACAATAAATTCATGTGGACTGTATAATTTAGATTATTGCTCCCTATTGGCGGTGCAGTCTTTTCACAGTTAAGGGTGAGGCCAGACGAGCGTAATTTTGTGAGTTGTGAGTTGCGTTTTTTGAGTTGCGCAGTTTGCACTCGACCGAAATTCGGTTGGAGCGCCAGACGAACGTATTTTATTCAGTTGCTTTTAAGCGATTATACCAAAGTGCGGGTGAGGGAAGGGGGTCCCTTCCCTCACCCGTACCTCCACCCGCGCCAGCGCGTCACGATGCGACCGAAAGTCAGTCGTAATTACGCCCGTGAGTCGGCAGACAACTCATTTTGCGTCGTCGTGTGAAACAAACCGTACTTTTATATGAAACCGAATGCAGCGCAAACTACGCAACTCAAACTACGCGACTCACAACTCACAAAATTACGCTCGTCTGGCCTCACACTAACGCGTGAAGTCTTTATCAACTTCATGCAGTCGTGGTTTCGGCTGTATGAATTGGATTACGACTTCACGCACTAACTGCAGACGTGCAGTTAATCTGTTGGCAGCCTAAAACCACTGTTTGTACTACTTGTTAAATATTTGGATTTGACATCGTAGAAACTAAACCATTCGATGGTATTGGCTCAACTTTTTCAGTGTTGCTATGTAAATCAATGTCTGCCTTTCTTGTCATAACTAACATATTTGTATTAACTTTCGGGATATTAGCACATCAAGTATATAACCAGAAATAGAGATGAAATAAGGGCCATTCATCCCTGGCAACTCATCAGTCAAATGGGTCTTATATCGCTTTTAAGTAAATCAAAATCAACTCTCGTTTGCGCTGAAATCACAAATTAAAAAACTGAAATAGTACAGCGCCAACAACTGACCCGTGTGTACGTCTCCGTATATTCCAAAAATATTCTATATTTATTGTAATAAAGATATCTCTAACTGCGGGCGGCTGTTCCATTCGGTGGCGTGGGAAAAACAGCAAAACGTCTCAAACATCATAAATATTAAATATGTAATTTTTCAGTTTTCGTCCATTATAACAAAGCTTACGTTAAACTGGTCGATTTAAAGAGAAACAATTGACGAATTCGGGCTGGTCAATCGGAGCGCAGTTGTTACAGTAATGATTTGGCAGAATAGTTTTCAAAGAAGTTAAATGACATTTCGTCTCTATTTCTGGTTATATACTCGATGCTTGACAATAAAACTGAAACTAAATAAGATATTTAAAAACCGGTTAGAGAGGGTTGTAGATCTCGTTTTGCCGATGTTTGCTAAAAAATAACGATTACGTTAGTTATGATAAGAAGAGACAGGTGCATCTTCTATCTGTGTAACTTGTAATAGTTAAACTGTTGGTGGTGTCCTGGCGTTGTTGTTTGTATTGAGTGTGACATCAGCAAATATTGGACAAAAATAAATTAAGATTACGCTCTCTTATGATAGTAGAAATTAACTTTTGTCTAACCCTTTGAAATTATCAGAAGTTTATATTGATAACTCAGATTACAGAACAATAGGTAAATGAAGCGCCACGAGAGCGAAGCCACCAAAGCAAATACAAATTAAATTAATTAACTTATATTGCGCATAATTTGTTTGATATCCAAATACCACTTAAGCGCCTATATTGCAAAATAACATTTCTAGTTTGTAACATTAGCATTAAAGAAAGCATCAGAAAGAATTGCTTTTTTCGCTGGATCTGGCAATCTTACATGCACACAAATGCGCATGTCCCTACAGTGCCGTTCTTAATTGTACGCACGCAATAAATGAAAAGTGGCTTCACATCGTTTGTTGCGTATGCTCCATCTGCCTATTGTTTGGTAATCTGAGATTGATAATAAAAAATGTAAGAGGTTAAGGGGCAATTGGGATGAAATTTACTTATATCTAGGCAATAATATATGTACATAACACTAGAAGGTCCATCAGTCATTTGCAATGATCGGAAAAAGGTGTTCCACATAGGCTAGGAGCGATATACAATTGTTAAAACCACCAAATATTAATTGATTACTGTTCCGATTTCCGGATTTCCGGAAATGGTTTTACTGCATCGTCGAACAAGCTACTGACCTTAGAAGTCGAAGTTGGATTTTAAAGTAATTCTAATAGAGTCTTGTAAAAATGCAGCAGATAACTGACTTTTTAGCAAAACAGAGAATTAAAAAGTAGTGAGAATGGTCACTCTCCGCCCCTCCCTAGCTTCGTACACATTTGCTAGTAGAAGTTAAGAAAAGAAAAATGATTTAAAATTTTATTTACAAGGGGAATTTTAGGACGTACTGCTGAACCTGAACGCTTATACAAAAAGAAAAAGTGCTATTTTTGACGAAAAAATCATTTGCTTGATGAAATCACGATTTAAATCAAAATGATTTAATCGTGCCAACCTTGGTAGCCATATCTGTACATGTATCTACATACGTGAAACACCTTTTTCCCTTGATTTATTTAGGTGTAACTAATTATCACCCCAAACGTTGCATTGTAGTGTTCATTGGTACTTCATGAACACATTTAAGACTTACAACTTTTCAGCCTTACAACGAATATTACAGAAACACCAAGTCTTATTACACCGAGAATAATGACAATCTACAAGACACTGTAAACCAAGTTGGTAACCAAGATTAACCGACATATATGCATTTTATGCTTCTGTGTTTCAGAGAGCCCGATTTGAGAGTGCAAATAGCAGACAACACAGTCAAAGCAGCTGGCACGACTGCCCATCAAGCCAGTGTGCTGTCACAATAAATATAACTTTCCGACTGTATACCAATTACATTTTCATATTATAATGTAATTTGTATAATAACTATAATTATGAGACACAATTGAGAGATTGTCAACAACTAGCAAAGCAACTGCCAAACCCAATTTATAAAAGAAGACTCAAAAGAGCCAATATTCTGCGTAATTGAAGGGAGATGAGGCAATGGCCCTAAACTTCTGATCTGCTCATAACCCGGTCGACTGATTGCAGTTTCCAAAGCAAAAAAAAGCATCTAATGTTTCTGAAAAAGGTAAAAACTAGATGTTGCTTATTTAGACAGAAGTAAGCATGGTATGGGCACCCTCTGGCGCAACATGGCTCGATATTACAGTAATAATTTCTATACTTAGTTTCAATCCATTTTAAACAAAAAGTAAATAAACAAGTCACTAACCTGACTATAGAAGGTTTAGTGATGCCCAATTGTAATGCCAACTACAAATTGATTAATTAATTGAGTGAATTGATTTGTTTAATGGATTTATGCATGTGGTTGTCCTTACATGAAAATAGTGAAAATACATAACCTATAAAAGCATATATTTAAAATTTCCGAAATCTTAATTTTAAATCCTCCTTCAAATCCTCACACTTAGAGACTCGATTGATTGCTATTGAAATTTTCGATTTACTAATTGATTACAAAAACTTTAATTGAATGAACCGAAAGTTCTTCTTCATACAGCACTATGCAACCATAGACAAGTCAGAAGTATAGATGAAAAATAACCTCATTTTAGAACTACCATTTTTCAAGTACAATTTTACGATGCCATTGAAATGAATATTGTTAGAAAAAGTGACATGAAAGTGTTACTTATTCAATTTATTGAGTGATTACTTTAGAATTTGAACCAAACAGGTTTGTTTACATTTTGTTTGAAATGGATTGGAACAGCCTATAAATATAATTACAAAAAAATTATCTACACAATCATAATCTCTTGTGTATACGATTCAAATGTGTTTGCAAAGATTCCTTTGCCTTAAACTTTAATAAGCACATAACACACTGATACATAGCATTTTTAAGCATATGCTTATTTGATACGTGTTTCGCCAGCCTCTCCTTGCTTGTAAACTTTTTTTGACATTGCAAGCATGAATTTTCCATCAATATTTGTTTTAGCTTCATATGCCTCCGTAAACAGTAACGTGACTTAAAAGTAATAGCACAGGTCTCGCATTTCGACTTACTTTTAGCTTGATGGTGCGTTTGGCAATGGATATCTAAGTTAGTCTTCTTTGAAAATACAATTTGACATTCATTGCATTGGAATTTGGCTTCTTTTTGTTGTATTTCGTGATTAGACGTCATGTGGCGGAAGAAATGACTGTTCTGTGTGAATTTTAATCGGCAATACTGGCAATGGTATATATACTTGCGGTCTTCAAGCTGCCTGTGTAACGTAGTCCCTGTATCTTCGACTTTTTTGTTCCTGGACAATGATCTCGTCAAACGAACCTTAGGTCCAGTCTTGGCCGGTTTTTTATTCATAACTGTGTTAATTAATAACTTTATTCACGTCCGGTTGCCTTAATTTGTCACTGAAAACACTCTTGTATTATAGTCATAACTTGGTGTTTTTTCAACGTATTTTGTCAACACGTAAGCAAAATGTAAACTATAAAGTTTCCTTATAAATTTCAAGTAGGTTGTTGTTAAATTTCTTCTAGAGTGTAGTTGTTAATATTATGCAGCGAATAAATGCGTTTGATTAGGAGCAGGGAGGATTTTTGCATATTTAATTGTCGAATAATTAAAAGGTTAATTTTCTCAAGTCCACTTTCAACAAACGCTCACAAGAAATGTCAAAGAACAAAACGTTTGCGTTCCGAAATAACCAGCGTACTTTCACTTTTACATTTCTACTTAAAACTTAATTGACAATGTTATCTGATTATATTTCTAGTATTTTTACTTATAATTGATTTTAATATTTCTTTCAAAATTAATCGAAATCTAATTAGAAATGAAGTTAATTTTATTTCTGAACGTAATCAAACCGTGTTTCAAAATACAGTTAAGAACAAAAGGTAATACGTTAGAAGATAAAGCTACGCAATCTGCAAAAATATAAAAGGGACATGTTATTTATATTACAAAACACACAAGATATTATTCTCATAAAAGATTATAAAATCACTAGAGAGTCACGTACATTTCATCAATTACTAAAATTGTTCACAAAGCACGCACAAAAAAAGAAAATTACATAGTTTATTTTTCTTATTAGAATATTTTATCAATATATTTTTATCAGTGCAAGGTTCAAAATCAACAGAAAAACTGAAAACTTGATAAGAATTATGTAAGCTTTGTTATAAAAAGGAAAATATTACAAAAACTAAGTATAGTTTTAAGTTGGCCATAATAATGGGAACAATCAGCCTATTGATTGTTGTCGTATTTATAAGTGTAGTTTCTAGTGAAGAGAAAGAATTACAAACGCGAATTGTTGAAACCAAACAGGGCAAAGTTGAGGGTACTCTATCTTCCAATGAATTGTATTGTGAGTTTTTAGGTATAAGGTATGCCGTACCAGTTAGATTTCGGGTAAGTGGTTTTTGTTTATTAAATTTTACATGTACAACTACACGCAAGGACAAAACAAACACACACACGTAATATTATAAAAAAATAGCCCAAAAAAAGAGAAAATCTCTTAAAGTCGGGTTTTTATATGAGTGGTCTTGGACTACGTACTCAGACGCTACTCGTAAGGTGTAAACACGTGATCCGGGCATTCAATCAGAGCGGACTCGGACGCGGTAGTATTTTTCCGAGCACCTATACCTACGCGGATCATTTTATTAAAACAAAATGGCGTCAACTAAGAAAAAGTGAAATGAACGTGATTCTATGAGATTTTAAACGTGTTCTTATCTGTCTTTGCCACTTCTTGATTAAAATTATTTGAAACACTCAGTTGGTCACGTCTTAAAATTAATTGTCTGGTTAAATTTATTATCTTTTTCTGTTTTTTTCCCCTTTCATGATTGTGTACTCCAGCCATTAACAAGTCTGCTACAACTCATATACGTAGCAGTTGATCTGTCGTCCTCATCTTGATGGTGCAAGGAGATAAATGCTTCTTTTTTTTGTAATATTACGTGACGGGACGAACAATTTGTGTGTTTGCAGTGCCACTCAGAGCTTTAAATCGCAAAGATCTGAGGCGCACTGCCACTGCCCCAATCACCCTGATACGTAAGTTCACAAGTCTCATATGCCTGTAATTTAACCAGCACCCTTACCCTTCCAAACCGGAACGCAATGATGCGCACATTACTACTTGGCGGCAAAAACTGGTAAGGTGGCAATACTTCCCTGGACGAACTCATTCACAAGGAGCTCACTCCTAATGAAGTGTAACGGAACTATATTTATACTAAAACCGTCTGTAATAGCTTTGAGTTTGCATTACTGCATACTTTGAACTTCACAAGTTTTGTCGTAAAGAAAACAAATAAATAACGCACACACTCTTCACTTTTCAGGCACCAGTAGAACCGCCAAAGTACACAGAAATCTACAAAGCAGATAACAAAGCAGTAATATGTGCGCAATTTCCTTGCAATGATCCTTTATCCGCACCAAGCGACAATGAAGATTGTTTAGTACTAAATATTTATACACCGGTCGGGTTAAATAATACCGACTTGCCAGTAATCGTGTTTTTACACGGTGGTGGTTTCGGCACTGGTTCTGGCTCAGCAAGCTTTTATGGACCACAATACCTGGTCAGCCACGGGGTTATAGTTATTACCGTAAACTACCGATTAAATTACCTTGGGTTTTTGAATTTAAAGACTAAAGACGCCCCTGGTAACGCAGGTTTAAAGGACATAAGGGCTGCTTTGATTTGGATAAGAGAAAATATTAAAAGTTTTGGTGGAGATATCGACAACGTAACTGTGTTGGGACAGGGTACAGGAGGCACGGCTGCCTTATATTTGACCTTATCGGAGTCAACTAAAGGATTATTCCATAAAATTATTAGCGAAAGCGGTTCACTTTTTACACCACAATCATTTGACCCTGATCCTTTAGCAACCGCTAGTCAGGTTGCTAAGTCTTTGGATCTAAATAGTATGAACTCAAAGGAACTTTTCAAATTGTATACAGAAACGCCTATAATAAAAGTAGAAGAAGCTATTTCTAAACAGATGAATCCAAAATCTGTTTTTATACCCTCGGTTGAAGAAATTTTTGAAGACGAAGAACCATTTTTAACTGATACTCCATTCAACATTTTAAGCGATAAAAATCATAGATGTTTCAATCCTGTACCAATTATTATTGGCATCAATACTATAGAAGGACTGACGAGTACGTTAGATTACAATACAATAACCAGTCAATTGGATAGAGTAAAGAATGAAGACTATGCAGCATTAGATCAAAAAACGTTCACAATACCAAAGGAAGAAAAAGAAGAATTCAGAAATATGTTAAAGGAAACTTATTTTCAAAATATAACTACGGACGAAGCTGTGATTGGTGGAATTATTAATTTTAAATCTGATTTTTCATACGTGGGTCCGATGTCGTTATTCTCAGAGTTATATGCTAATAATTCTAAAGAACCGCTTTATGAATATATCTTTAATTACATTGGAAATAGAAATTTCGGTAGACTCCTAACCAATACTAGTTTACCGGCGACAACGAATCTAGATGAACTTTTCTATGTTTTTGAACTAGAAAGACTACCTTTGCCTATGGACGAGAATGATGCTAGAATAGTTACTTTTATGACTATGATGTGGACTAATTTCGCTAAATACGGGTAAGTTTCCTGATTTCTAGTTTTAGCCGTTAGTTTCGATTAGCCAAAAGCTACAATTCTGATGCATATTATGGCCTTTAATTTCTAAGGGCGCTTTCAAATTAGATGCATACAGCCACTGCAGCCGCACCTCAGCTAATTTTCATACAATATTTAGAAGCACAGTTGTAGCGCCACTAGGCATGCATGATTTTTTACTTTGAAACGATTTTTTTGGATTGTAATGGAATGATCCATATAACGCAAAAAATAACGCATAGAATGATAGTTTCATATCAAACGAACTGTCACAAGTGAGGCAAAAATCAAATTCATGTAGGCTAGTTTTAGTAATAGGTTAATTTTCGATTTTAGTGAATATTTATATAAAAATACAAGTTGAAACGCGTTACTTCCTTGTGGAATGTGATGTTAGTATCTATTTTATGTTTGTCTGACGTATTTTTACACTCATTTACAGCACATTTCGTCATTTTTAGCTAAAATTCTTGATCTGTTCGCGGTGCAAGTTGACCTTGAGCACTGAAGGCCCGCCCGCTCGTGTAGGCCCTTTTGGCGCGCTTCAATTTGCCTCACTTAGCGTGTGCGGACTAGGTTTCTATGCGTTATTATTCTAAGTACCTACCAATGATTTTGTTATAGCAACTGAACTAAAAAGAACACGTGTACTATATGATATACACTTTTCAAATGGCTTTGATTGTCCCAGTGTCCAAGCAAAATGAACTGTATTATTACGGGAAAAATTGGAATTCAAGCGGAGGTAGTGCCGGCTCTTAACTTTGAGAGGATAACGAGTTCTTAGGTTTTCGCGATTGTTACACATAGGAAATGAAACTATTTTTCCGGATTTAAATCGCGTATATTTGTTTTTTCAAACAAACCGACGTTTCGGGCCCTTTACAGGTCCCATGGTCACGGTTGACTGTAAATCCGGAAAAATAGTTTCATTTCCTATTTGAGAGGATAATTTTATTTTTAAGTAAATGTAGCATATTTACTTATTACGAGTTTAAATTAAGTTTTAAATTGAATCTTATCATTTTCTGCCTTCAGCTCACCAACCCCAGAGCCTAGCAATGGTGAATGGCTGCCGTATCCTCACCACCTTGCCATCGCTCTTGAACCTCAATATGTCGCTCCACTGACACCCGACAGGGCTTACTTCTGGAAGACTCTGTACTTAAAATACGGCTGCGATGTGCCAATCAAAGAGGATGATGACAGCGACAACGAGAATCAATGAAAACATAATGCTGCTGACTGTACCTTTTTGAAATGCTAATTATTTATTGAACGTATTTGTTTTTATCGTAATTTATTTTTATGTTTAAGAAACATCTCTACACAGAATTAGTTTTACTATTACATATTATTTTATTAATGTACTATTTGTGTATATTAATTATTAAAAATAAATTTTTATTTATTTCAAAGGACAGTGATTTATTTTTAAATAATATATTCTATATAACTATATTATTTGGTATTATTATTTCGTTATATATTTTATTGTTGTATTTAACTATTTGCGAATATTATTTTCTGAAAATAAATCGTTATTAAAGAACAGTTATTTATTTATTTAACATATTTTGTATAATTTTGTCTATATTTGCTTTTATAACCATTTATTCTAAATATTGTTTCATTATATACTCTGTCTCCATAGATTTAAAAAAAAATACAAAATGATAGTTTAGCTACATTAAGTTTCTTGCTTCTATGTAAGTAGTCATAAAATAAGCATTGTTTTTTATTTATTTACTGATAAAATTTGATATTTTGTCATCATGTTTTAGTATGAGTAAAATTCTGGTAGGAAAGAAATAGTTTATTACTTTGTACAAGTCTCTAATTGTGTGTTTTGTATTTATTATACTAAGGCGTAATTTAATTTATCATAATTATTTATTAATAATATTATTTATTGTAAATGAAACAGCAAACACTTTAAATTATTTATATTATAAAATCTACGAAAATACAATTCAAAATTCTAGAAGTAACATCTTTCATTATGGTGAATAAATTTTAACAATTTCTGAATATAAATAGGTTTTTCATTACAATAGTATATCATACTATTAAAGTCAATATTAAATTTTAAAATACAATCGAGGGGTTATTTGATCGCCACTAACTTATAAAATAACATTTTTAATATAATATACATTTTAAATACAAAAAATATATATAAAACTTAAGTGTCACATAATATACTTGAATTTCAAATACTATTGAGTAATATATTAATTAGACTTTACGAAATGAAACTACTTTTTCGGGTCTAAACCACGTATATTTGTTTTTTCAAACAGTCCAGCGGTTCGGATCCTTTACAGATCCCTTTGTCACGGCAACTGTAAAGGGCTTTGGTTTGTTTGAAAAACAAATATAATCTATTTGGATCCGAAAATAGTTACATTTCCTATTTATAATACTCGCGAAAACCTAGGAACTCGATATAATTAGACTTTCTTTGAAAGAAGTTTCTGTTTCTCTGCACATAATTAATTTTATTATATACACAAATGCATTTCTGTATATTATTTACTAAAAATAAGTTTTTATTTATTTTTATGAACAGTGATTCACTTACCTATTTATTCTGTATAACTCTAACTATATTTTCTGTTATAATAATTTATTATAAATATTATTACATTATAAACTTTGACTACAATAATATATTTTTATTAAAAAATTATATAACTTTATTCTTTGTCATTTTGTTTTTCTTAACAAAACGTATTTATTTGTTATAAATATAATATTTTATATATTATTAAAATCTTAAGCAAGGCACTCAAGAAAAGGCTTTACATTCTCTGTTTCTTTATATACTGAAATTATTTCCGTACGTACTAACAACATTTTTGAAATTTTTTATTGCATTGATATTCAATTATTTTTTATGTGAAATTACTCCACTAGTTTGTTATAATTATTAATACAAAGATAGTTGTAAGTAAAAATTAGTTGGTATAGCATCTGGCACGGTATGCTAGAAGACCACGGTTCGAATCCGGCCGGATCGAAGAACTTTTTTTTGTTCGATTTTTGTAATTATAACAAACAAGTGGAGTAATGTCATATAAAAATAATTGAATATCAATTGAATAAAAATTTAAATACGATGAATGGCGACATCTCTAGCCGGGGCTGGTAGCTGTAAAGGTATCTAACTGGGTCACGAAATATCATAGATTTCTCATAGATGACGCTACGATGAAAAAGTCGTTGAAAAACCAAATACAAAGATACGACGCCAGTACATAAAAAAATTCGTGAGGTACGCTGGTTCGTTCCGTGACTTAGTTTAGTGTCTGGCACGGTATGCTAGAAGACGTCGGTTCGAATCCGGCCGGATCGAAGGAATTTTTTCTGAGTGTTCGATCTTTGTATTAATAAACAATTATTAATAATTATAAAATTTTTTTAGTTACAGAAATAATTTCTAGTTGAATTTTATTGCACACTTAGGGTCGTATTCTAGAACTCTACTTAATGCTCAAGTCAGGATTGCAATTGAAACACAAGCACTGGCAATACGACCCTAATAGCAGGGACTTGAGTATGATATCAAGTGCTTTAAACCATACTCAAATCCTGACTTGAGCATTGAGTAGAGTTCTAGAATACGACCCTTAAAGTCAAATGTACCTATATCAACATTAAGCTTAGGCGCATCAGTATGTAAGCTTTTAAAAGTCGATACTACCCGCTCACGCGATGCGCTACCCCCACCTACACGGCCCTTAAAGAATAAGATAAACCTACCGCATAATGGCGGCTATCTGGTTTCGCAAATTAGAAAAGCATTCAGTTTAAACACAAGTTTTTATAAATAATTATTATTATTCTGCATTGCTAAATAACTACCCTCCGTACTACCAACAAAAACATCTCAAATAAAATGCAGTAATACACCGCAAATCCTGCACTTAAAAAGCACTAATGAAATTTTTGGTGTACTTGGATAAATATGATAGTATTCCGTTTGAGTGGTTCTAACGTTTACCATGAAATTACTCCTTAAAGTATAGTTTATAAACATTTATATTCACGGTAAACTTAAGAAACGCTACTTACGGTATGTTTTCAATAAATAAACACCGTAATCACCAGCCCAAAAATTAACACACACGATTGTCGTGATGTATTTTTGAAGTTGTTTATTTTTTTAAATGACAGACCCAGGCATTAAAAACTTTATGGTTTGCTAGAGTAGTTACCGAAATAGCAATTAATATTAGTTCTTTTACCTGTTATAACTTCGATATCCGATAAATTGGTATAAAATCATCACCTCTAGGTGTGGTATGCTTCCAGAGACGCATGAATCGCGCAACGCTCTGTGGCGGCTTGCGTCCACGGCTGCATGTATCGCGTGAGTGGCGACCTCAGCTTGAATTCAAATTTTTCCCGTACCTACTAATACGGTTCATTCTGCTTAGGTCGAGTAGCAGGGACACTGGCTTTATACGAGAATTTTTTTACAAACCATATTAAAAAATCCTGCGATCCAGCCGGGTTCGAACCGACGTCTTCTAGCATACCGTGCCAGACGCTATACCAACTAAGCCACGGAACGAACCAGCGGACCTCACGAATTTTTCTATGTTTGTTGTCGTGTCTTTGTATTTGGCTTTTCGACGACTTTTTAGCCGTAGCGCCATCGCCATGAGAAACCCATGAAAGTATTTCGTCACCCAGTTACATACCTTTACAGCTACCAGTCCCGGCTAGAGATGTCGCTATTCATTGCATTTTAAATTTTTATTGAATTGATATTCAATTATATTCGAGTCCGGAAATTTGAAAAATGTATATCGTATAGTATACGTGTTCTATATAGTTAAGTTGATATTAAAAAATATTACTATAAGTACCTGTTGAATTGGTTTTCTTGTAAAATTTCTATTTTCTTGTAAAATATACTCCCGGTCACATAATTCGAGCCACCTCGAGTTTTTGCCTTAAACGGCTAGAATATAAAAATAGTGTTATCATCGAAGAAAACGGTTTCCTCCGGTTTTGCAAGTCCAAATTTACAACAAGGGCTTATGGAAAAGACTTTCAATATACTAGTTTCAAAATTGCCTAGGATAGTTCTTAATCAATCGAACATTGTTTAAGCTTAGGGCATTTAATACTGATGCGAGGTGGCTCGAATTATGTGTCCGGGAGTGTAGTAGCAGTAGAGCTTCTTGTGAAAGAGTACGTCCAGGCTAGTACTGCCACCTTACCAATTTCTACCGCCAAGCTTTACAGCTTGGCTTTACCGGAACACAGTAATGCTGACATTACGTCAGCATTACTGTGTTCCGGTTTTGAAGGGTAAGGGTGCTGGTGAAATTTAAAGGCACGTGGGACTTCTCTACTTATGTCTCAGGGTGACGGGCGCAGTGGTAGTGCCATCAGATCTTTGCGGTTTTAAGCTCTGAGTGGAATACAAGCGCTATGGATGCGTGTTGCTTACCATCAGCGGCACGACTTGTTCGTCCCTTTACTTGATATTATAAAAAAAGTAAGTTTGTGTTTTTTTTTCTATCGTGAAAATTTTTGGGGATGGTATATCAGAGTATATCCTCAATTTTACTATATATTTTTTCTAAAATGTTTTCAATTCAACGCTTTCACTGTTATGCAGAATCAACCAAAACCATTTGAGGTAGTATAGACTCTTAACAAGCTATTTCAAAAATGAGAAAGTTTCAACGCAACACTTTAATTCTAGCAATCATCGTCTAATTTAGTAAAAATTTCCTTTTGTTTTATATAATCGATACAAGCAATTTCTAAACTTTACAATTCATCCTCCAAAGCCTGTAAATTCTACTTTTAAAACTTCATTTCCAATTCAAATCTTCCCGCTTTCCAAAAAAATTTAAATCCCAACAGCCATTACGTTCGGCCAGCAATATTTTTTCACAAAGGCTTCAAAACATTGAGCCAATATTTATTTTCCAACTCCGAAGCAAAGCCTATTTAGCTCAACTAGAGCTGTCACTATCACTCTCACTGCTGTCATGTTTCTTCTTCTTTCTCTTGTCTTTCTTGTCGTCATGCCGCTTTGGACTCCGTTTAGGGCTCCGACTATCGCGGCGGACTCGATGATGTCAAATGCCCGAGTCGTCAGTTGTGTGGTGAACGTTGTTCATGGACTCCTCAGAGGACTCTGATTTCTGTTTTTTCTTGCTGCTCGAGCAAACAAAAATTGTGAAAAAAAAAATTTCAAAAACAAAGGAAGAATTTTTAACAACGTTTTTAAGGTCTTTAAGAAACCCAGCAGATAACCCCTACGTAAGGCCGAAAAACCGTCACCTTGAACAACATCTAAA